AACCTTTCAGGTGACAAGAATGAGCCCCCGACAGAGTCCGTGATGGCACACAATGCCGTACAGGTAGGGACTTGGCATGCCTTGCATTAGCTTGCATCCTGCACTTGAGGACCAAACTGATCAATTGTTCTTCTCGCCCTTTGTCATGGCAGGCACTGTTGGATGCTTGGGAGGCCGAATCCGACGAAGAGGATCACCAGGTGCCATGTTCAGACGGAAATTCCTACTGATCCCCTTTGTATGCTGCACTTGCTGGGCTTGCAGTTTGTCAGGGCCGTGGCAGGGGCAAGCAAGGCAAGCGGAAGCGCACTGAGGTTGCAGTGCTGCCCCAAGTCTGCGGAAGAGCCATCCATCACACAACATGTGCAACGGACAGTTGTACAGCCTAGCCGCGTAGGGCCTAGCCTGGATTTCACAGGACTTCCAAAGATTGCCAAGGGAGTTTCTCAACCTTTTTGGTGATCCATGCTTCAGATCCAGGCGTCCACCTGGATCCAAGAAGATGGAGATGTGCCCATTGATTTCATGTCCGCCGATGCAGCCCATTCAGCCAAAATCTCAGCGCTTGACGCGAAGAGTATGGCAACGTCAATGTTAAAGGCATCAAAGTCAGCAGATGCTGACTAAGAAGGCTCCCCTTATCTCCCCTTGCTGTCACTGTATACAAAGCTTGAGGGGCCTGGATGCTAGCATCCATTCTTTGTTGCCTGCTGGTGTCCCCGGAAAACATAATGGGAACATGCAGGGTTTCAACGAACATCAACATGAGTAGGCATAGTCGACATGCTGCGTCGACCTGACTCAAAGCGTCTTGTGACTGAGGTGCTCACTGTGCGGGCACCTCCCTCGAAGAGGATCAGGGGCACGCAGGCGATCTGCTGTTGATATCAAGAGCCTACAAAGGTGGCCAAGGATGTGGGGAGTGACCAAGCACTTGAGAAAGTCTCACACCATGCCACTAGAATCACTAGAATGCTGGGGGCTTCCGAGAAAAAGCTGCTCAAGTCATTGTCATTGATGAGTCGATGACTTCCAAGGTGGGCTCGGCAGGAGCTGAGAATCAGGCGAGGAGTGGGGTCAGGTATTCAATTAATTGATGGTTTATGGTTTGATGGGTTCACCAAAATGGCGTTCACATAGGCCAGCCGAAGCAATCAAGAGACAAGAGCAAAGAGGACTTGTATCAGTATAGGAATCGCCAAGCCTGTAGGCGGCAGGATTGGGTTGCAGGTGGACCACAGCGATTGTCGCGCCAACGTAAGTATGACAGAGAAACAATGACCGAGTTGTGATAGTTGCTTTCCAATTGCCAATTACCAGGCGTTTTGAGCCATAGTGGCAATTTGGGCATCCAAAGTTGATCGTTTCTGCCAATCATGCGCTTGGTACCAAAATGGTCAACTCCCTGTGACATCAAGTCCCTAGACTGGTTCTTGCAGTGCCGAAGCCAGATCACGATCGTTGGTCGAAAGGAGAGTGGCTTTCTTGAGTACTATCATTGGACTCTAGACCATCCAAATCTTTGGAATCCACGTTCGTTAGGTTGGCTTCCAACTTTTTAGTCATGAAAGTGGGCTCCCAGGTTGGAGGCCATTGCTAGTAGGTTGGAGGCCGTCCATGAATTCCGCTGTCCTTGCACCGGCAGAAACCGCTGCGCGCGCTCCGAGGTGGACGCCTTGCGCCGCAACGGTCTCCGCTTCGCGGTGGACGGGCGTTTGGTGGTGGATGAGACAGCGGAGGTCTTTCAATCGGCGTGTTTTGGGGAGTTGATATGGGTTGATGGTGAGGGGTTCTGTTGGGACGAAGAGTTAAGGATCCAGAATGGGTTCAGAAATATGATTAAATGTGTTTTGAACATGACGCCTCGGTTCACTCCTGGATGTCAATTGGTTCTTCACCTTTGCACTGCTTCTTTGATACACACAGTTCAATGTTTCCTTTTAATAGAATGAAGAAGCAGATAAATGTACTCGAAGGCGAGGTTGGTATCAGCTTCGTGGCAGAGATTAACTTGATTGCCGTGACGAATGAACATCAGGAACTTAGTGGCTTAGCAGGGAAAACATTGGAAAAGCAAGAACCCATCATTTCTGGCGATGAATGCATGAATTCATATCTTAAGTTTAGCAAGCACTGCTTGCCCAACCCGAGCTCAATCTCGCAGTCATGGGGGTCCACGGAGTCCTCGCTGGTTCACCTTTCATGTCGACCCGCCGGTCTTCGCCCATAGATGCGAAGCCAGGTGCAGAGCTTGACGTTTGTAATTTCTTTGGTTTCCTTTCCAACCAAGACGCTACGAACGGAGCAAAGGGCATCGCTACGAACGGAGCAACGACGCCACGAACGGGGCTCCTGGCCTTGCTACTAGGAACAAGAAATTCCACGCAGTTCCACGGAGTTCCTCGGAGCCAGGTGAAGGAGGATCAGCCCCAGGCCTTCAGCCACGGTGCCGAAAAGCCTAAAGCGCCCGGTCTGCCCAGTGACTAGCTGGAGGACACGACAGGAAGATGGCGATGGTTTTGGCTCATGTCAAAACCCACTGGAAAAGCCATGTGTCATGTGTTTGTGTGTGTGTTTAAGACATGTCGAAGACAATGTTGGAGTACTTTTATGATTAATCCAAACTTGCATGAACTCAGACATCTGTCTTGATTGTCTTGTGACTGTGACTGATTGCCAACAGTCTCAGGCTTTCACAACTTGCATCTCAGAGGAAAGCTCGTGCAGAGGCGACAGTGCTTTTGCATAGAAGTGTCGGTGTTCTCAAAAGCTTCCTCTTTGGCTGTGCAAACCCTTGACATCTTCAGGGCTGATTGAAGTGTTGTTTGGCCTGCAAGTACGAAGTCCATGCACATCAAGGGACGACAGAAGCTCATTACATGGTAGATGACAGCTTGTGGTTTCTTGACATTGGCGACACCAGTCACTCTCAAAATGATTAGCTCTTCTGTTTTTGCTAAGTCACTGGGAATCCCTGACTGAGCCTAAGTCTTTCGTTGTGCTTGTTGCAGGCGCGGGCGAAAGCAAAGGCAGCAAGGCTGGACAACTGATGTTTGTGATGTCCACAGTGGCCACAGATCGCTTGCTTTGCCTCTGTCATTACCAGGCCAAAGCGGCCAGTTTGCATGCTTAAGAAGCTTTGGTCACTGTCATTCTCCAGGAAGGGTGTGCATTTGATCAAGGGCTTGGTGAGAAGCCTAGCCTCAGGTCGCTGTGGTACTTCAGCAGAGAGATGATTACATACGGTGGTACACAGGGTATGTTTGTTTGAACAGATTCCAGACAAGTCGGAAGTCTCGTGGTTTTCAACCCTAGCAGGATGATGCTGGCCGTCCAAAAAAGAAAACGGACATAACATTCATCAATCGTTCAATCTGCATCCTCGGGTTGCTGGACCAATGATGACGAATGCATCTATGTGCACCCAGGATACCTACAAGCCTGGAAGGAAGAAGGCGCAAGGTGATGCCAAGCGGAAGGCTTGGTGGTTCTCTTTGCATTCTTCGTTTGAGTCGTTCCGTTTCGTTCTAAAATTCTTAGCCGTTCCATTTCGTTAGAGCGGCGAGTTTCACGGCCACCCACAGCCACCGCCGTGTTGTTGGTCCCAGGCCCCAGGCCCTCTCTGGCCACTTAGTCAGCTCGCTAGGTGACTCATTGTTCAAGAGGGTTGCAGCTGGGGGAGGTAGCTGAGCTTCCAGTGCCTCGCATGCTTAAAGGACTCCTAAAATATCTTTAGCAATACTAGAACTGCTGTTTGAGACATCTATAATCATAATTATAATATGCTGATATATTATGTATATATTCGCTTCTGCAGCCTGTGAATCAACGGTGCTAATCCACCTTGATGCTGCCAGGGATCCAAGCTGGAACCTTTCGCGTACGTGCGCCTGAACCCCAAGGCCGAGCTCTGCACCGACTAGTCGGACCTGATCGGTGGCCCATGTTTACTCCATTTCGGTGACTGAAGCTCTTTTGCTCGTGAGCAGGTGACCAAAGAAAAGTTCAAGACCAAAGCCACCGAAACCTTTGCCCGAGTGGTTCAAGGTGCCAAGAAAGGTGTGGTGAAGGCGGGACTGGGAAGGCGAGACATCCACCCGACATGGTGGTGCTTCACTCGACTGGTGATGCTTCCATAGCACTAATCACTAATCCGACTAGTTATATACTGTAATCCCTGGTATTTCCCTGTGGCAGGGCATGAAGGCGCGGGCCCGTGAACAGAAGTTGAAGAACGCCAGAGAGGCCAAGAAGAAGCCCGGATGCCCGGTGGAATGTCACAGACGGTCACACAGCTGGGCAGCTGAAGCCTTCTTGAGATTTCAGTTGATGGTACCCATTTGACAATGCCTTTGATGAAAGATAATTTGTTGTGATTCACATTTCTGTGATTCTCAACTAGAGTGCTTGTTTGGCGCATGCGGGCACCATTCAGCCGCGAACACTCCAAAGCGGACCTAGGAAGCAGGCCCGCTCCAAAGTCCGGCGAGTGGGCTCGCGCTAGGCGACGCTAGGCAAAGTGAGAGCGTGTCTCGGCAGCGACGGCATGAAGCATGACAGTTATGTGTATTAGTTAGCTCATGATTGTTCAAATGATTGTTCAAACACCCAAAGACGAGTCTTTGTTTGTCTCTCTTGTTTTTGCGCTAGTTAATGTCATCAGACTCAGACTGATGTTTGCAAAGATCGATGTGTGGCGGCCATAAGACCGCACAGAGATCTGTGACCAGTCTGGCGGCTGAGTCGCCGGATGCCAGCGCTGAAAATCATGAAACGTGGAGAGATCGCGCGGAGTCCGCAAGTGTTTCCGCAAGTGATTCCCGACCTCTCCCAAGCTGGAGTTGCTGCTTTTGGGAGACCTCCCAAGCCATGTTGATGCTGGAACGGTTGTTCGGTTGTCGCGGTTGTTCTGTTTCTGCTGCGACGACTTATGGTTATGAGGTCTTTGAAATGTTTTGCTGGCCGCTGTAGCTGTTTGGCATGGTGCACTGGACTGGCAGGAAGCCGAAGGAGAAGAAAGAGAAACCCAAACCTGCAGCCGACAAGGCACTTTGATCCTTGAGGTTTGAGTGAAAGGCTAATTACTGGCAAAAGGATTGTGGATGATTGTGGTTGTTATACTAGAAAAGCATTTGGTCATCGATACTGTGACACGCGCGAGTCCTGCCAGGCTTCAGACAAGCTTACACTCGAGGCACGCTGGTGGTGGCTACTTGGTTCCATGTCCTCTCCACCCCTTCGACCTTGCAGTGCAGCTTGGCAGATCGCATACCAGGGTCAATATATATATATATCAGTCTATGCAATACATTATATAGTCGATTCAATAGAGTTCTGTGAATAACTCAAGCAAGCTCTTGTAAGTGCTCTTGTAGCAGGACTTCATGCAAAAACTCGCTTCGAAGAACGGTGTGAAGCAGGAGGAGTGCGCCATGTCCATTGACTTCCTGCACCAGCAACCACGCGTGCTCTTCTATGCTTGCCCTGCAGGTACGTCGCTCCAAGATCAGAGCGAGAATGGGAGAAGCTTCTGGTCTCTGTTGCTGGTCGGATCTTCAACAGGCTTTGAAAGGGGCATGTATGTGACATGTGCATGTGTTTCACCTGCAAGCAACATCTTAAGTGTGCGCGACTGATTCAGAACAGGACCTGTGGAACCGACAATGATGTGGGCTGCATGGGGGAAACACATGGGGTACTTACTTGGGGAACCAGCTTTGTGTGCGTGTCGTTTTGGCCACGAAGCCTTATGAAATGGCATGTGGGGAGACGAGCTGGCACAACATGAGGCGCTCATGGACTGCTTATCCAACCAGTTTTACTTCCCTTGCGTTTCGGGGACTCGACTCAGAGCCGTTTGGTCTTCAGGCAATCAGAAGAGCTGTGAGAGTGGAAATACTTGGTGTTGAATTCTGAAGACATGATTCATGTTTCTAGATCCACTAGGCATCTTGAATATAGTGTGGCCTGGACTTGCTGTAGTGGTTAGGCACGCTTGAGCATGAATTCTGAACTGAATGCAAGTGTGGCCTGGAGCTAAAAGGTGGCTGGGTCAACCCGTCTCTAGAGCTGCCAGCCTTCTTTGGGCCAACTGTTTCATAAGTCTGGTGACGTGGTTTGTACAACTGTGTCCACCTACGAAATGCTGAAATCCATGGTGACAAAGGACCTTGGTGTGTCAGAAACCTTTTGCTCCAGCCAACAACAAAGACCTTCCAGGGTGGCTGACGAAGGCCCCTAAGCCCTGACTTTGCATGAGAGAAAGGGTGATCGCCCCTTCATGTTCACTTTTCTGGTAGAACTTGATGTGCATTCTTGCTTTGTTACATGGCAAACACGAAATTTATTTGCCCAAGACTATGGCAGTTATATAGCCCTGTGTCCTTTCGTCGAAACGCGATTCATCGAACAACAGACATGCTCAGCTTGCAGTGTGCTTTGTCCTCGCTCGGCCGACAGTGACACGACTCACAGCAGCTGTTTTCGCCTCCTCGCTCATGGCAGTCGCGTTCACATGTTGTTGCCATTCTTGAAAGCTAATTCATTGCAGTCAACTGAGCAGCAAGAACCAACACCAGATATCACCAGATTATCCATGTGGAAGTGTCGTGATTCAACTTCTACGACTCTTCCAAGGCGGCATCTCAAGCGTTTCGCGTCTCGCCGGTGATTTTCCCTCGCAAGACGCGATGGCTGGCGTCCGCAATCTTCGGCGGCTGTTCACCGAAACTCAGTTTGGAGGAACTTCTACCGCCTGTCCGTTTGTTGGATTGCCCAAGGTTTAAGGGTTTGAAAGATGACAGTGGGACAAAGCTGGTTCAGTCGTTTTGTGTACATGTGCACGCATTGTGTGGCATACGTTTGTGTCATGGCACACCACATCCAACAGCACCGTTGCTGAGGCCCTCTTCTTCGGCTCGTTGTTCAAGGTCACCTTCGTCTCGAGCCCCTTTCGCCCAACACGCGACCGAACTCGCCTTGATGCACTACCGGAATCTGGAGGTGCGACTTTGGAGGCGCGTTGGGGATGTTAGGGGATTCTGTTCCAACTAGGAGCGTTCGGACGCTACGAACGGGGCTCCTGGCCTTACTAGAAACAAGAAGCTACTAGGGCCTAGGGGCTCCTGGCATCGCTACTAGGAGCAAGGATGCTACTAGGACGCTACTAGGACTCGGTTTGCACTTGAGGAATGATCCTTGAAGTCCCTTGAAGTCCTTTTGGTCCGTGTGAGGCAGAAGGCATCCCGAAGACCAATCCGCAGGGCATCCAGAATCAAATCTGGCAGTGGCGTGGGCAGCGTCTTGTGGCAAGCACGTCATGGGATATATTTTTGTTGGACGACCGTTGTCACTGTGACGAATGTGGTGGATGATGTTTGGATGCTGTGTATGTTCGGCTTACTGTAATAGTTCTCGTCCTGCTAGAAGCCTCGTACCACTCAAGGGGATGAACCTCACTCCCAATCTTCAATTTGGGTGGGTTTCATTTGGCTTCATCCTACATGATGGTATAATTAGTATAGGACCCAGTCAACTTTCTCGACTCTGCATACATTTCAGCGGGGCATTCTTAGAGCTTGGTCAGGCTTGGGAGAGTTTTGTCACGCCAACCCACGCATCCATTGGACTGTGGAGCAGTTGGACCGTCCTTTTCAGGGGACCGTTCAAGCATTTTCCATGTGAAGGAATTCAAAGCGGGGAATGCTTGGCGGAATTCAAAGGAGTCTAATTAGTTGATATTAGTTGTACGACACTGTTTTTTAAGCCACACCTTGTTGCCTACTGTGGTCACCGTTTTGCGAATGGTCGGATCTGCCAAGCAAAAACCGGACCTGACCTGTCGGATCACGTGCCCGATGTGCCGGCGTGAAGCTCCTTTTCCGAAAGCAATCATTGCACGCAGCAGTTCACCAAGAACACTTTGATTCCTCGTGTCGGTTTGTTATCAAGTCCTATCAATAGTATCAGTCTCTTGTTTCAAGACCAAGCCAGCCGTGTGATGACACCAATAGATTCCACCAGAATTTGTGCACTTTCTTCCGCTGCCTGGAGAATGAAGCGCGTCACAAAGTACTGAAGCTGATGTCATCGCTGGAGACCGCCTTACCCTTGACGCACAGTCAAGCAAACCTACCTTCATCAGCCTCTGCCAGTGTGCCTACAATTTTTGGGGCATTGGTTGATGCGGCTTTGGACCTGGAAGAGAACACGGTGCAGGTGTTGGAACAGGCAGCAGAGCTCCAGTACTGCCGTCAATGTGGCGCCGAAGATCCAGGAGCACGCCATGATGAGATTGGGCAATTCTACTGTGACTATTGCTGGCAGTGTTGGGAAGGAACGCCGTCGAAGAAAGCAGTCGAGGTTGCAGAAAAGTTTCCGCGGCCAGAGCCAAGGCTGCACAAAATCTTTCAGATGCCGAAGCTTGGTCAAGGGCATTTATCACCCTTGCACTGTGATTCCTGTTCTTACAAAGTGGTCCCTGAAGACTGTCTTCTCGCTGCCGAACGCTTGACACGTGATGCACCACGTCAACATCCTCCTAGTCAACCACTCGTGTTGCTCTGCCCTTAAATGAACAAACCTATAGTGTATATATAGTTAATATATTGTGTGAAAATGTTGGATTTTGTTGAATTTGTTAAGTGGTGTATATTATACTATAGATGTTTGTCCAACGCTCATTTTCTTTGCAGTTCAAGAGGAAAGCTCAAGAATCCCAGTAGTAAGGCAAGTGGACCACTTAGCCACAGCTAGCTTGAACTGAACAGTCTTTACAAGAAGCTTCCGACAATCTCAGGTTGTGTGGCTGTAGCCTGGAACGCTCTGGCGGTGCCAACGGTCCGGCTGCACCCACCTTGCTGGGCGAACTTTGCAAAAACACTACCTGGCAAGTCGTCGCGGAAAAGTCCTTCCCCATCGAACGGGACGTTGCTCTGTATGTGCCAGGCGTCATGGTGTTCCGGCTCCAGGGCGAAAAAATGCCATTGCCGCGGCCATTTGGAATTGCTGTTCTCGCTGCAGCTCCAAGCACTTGGGCCGGAGAGAATGAATCGGCAGAATTCCAAGCTGCCCTGCTGCACTCAGGCTCTCAAGACAACCTTGCGTCTATTTTAGTCTATAGATAGAAATTGTTGCAGTTCTCCGCCCTTGAAGCATTCCACCAACCCGAATAAAGACCTAGGATCTACAATCTCGCATACATGGGATTATTCAGATCTGCAAGCACCACGAACATGGCAGCCTGGTGCTGGGTGCTTGGGGCTGTGGCGTTAGAAAGCACCCGCCACAGTTGGTCGCTGAAGCATTTAAACAAGCGTTGGACTTGCATTGTGGCTGCTTTTCTGAGGTAGTTTTTGCAATCAAGAATGACCAGAAAGCTGTAGAAGCCTTCCAATCAGTCTTCCAGTCTGATTTTCACTAGGCACTGGCTCCGCTGTTAGGAAAGAGCCGTCTATGATTCGACGTAGCTGTTCGCAGAAGAGGTCTGAGGAGAGCCTGATGTCAGCAAGATCATGATCAGCAAAAAGAGCTCTTGGATCATTGGTCTGGTGGATCAGCAAGACATGTCACCAAACTGCCGGGACTATGCCGGAGTCTTATCCACTAGCCACATCCGCCTTGAGTTTGTTGGCGCACAAGAGAAACCTTAGGTACTTAACCCCTGGAATCCAGGGAAGGTTTTTGTTGGAGTTTAAGAACCTCACTCTGTGAGAAGCACTTGCTGAATGTGCTAGATTTCACTCCTACATTTCATGCAAAGCCTTCTCTCCAAAGAAAAGATCGGACGGGAAACTCTCGAAAGCGAAGGCTCAACTTTACGAGCGGTTGATCATTTGAGATGGCTCGTTTTTCCCCAAATGCCATTGGTGTTTGGGGACGACGAGGGGCTTCTTATATTGGAAACGCACGTCTTTTTTTTGTTCTCTTTGGGTCTCCTTCCTGGCGGCAAGTGACAAGCGTTCACTTACCAAGGCAAATCTGGAAGTGGACGTGTTCCGATTGAATGCTTCATGTGTCATCTTCAATTTGCGCTGCCCCGTTATTTCCATAACTACGATACTTTGCTCTTTGTGGATGGGACATGGCAAAGGCTCACATGATCATTGGTCTTCGAGCTTGAAGTTGAACTGCGCAATCTGGCTTCGGCCATCCCTACAAACGAACCGGTAGCCACTTTTCCAGGACCAGCAGGTACCCTCTAAATGTGGTGTCGTCATGCAAATCGTGGGACCTGATTTGGGGTTCTTGACCTTGGCCAAAAGCTTGCCAGGTACCCAATGTTGAATACCTTGTACCTTAAACAGGATGTCGTTTGATTTTGTGTTTAGGAAATTTGCCATGTTGGACCGCTCTAGCTGCATTTGCCAGCTCAGACAATTTGGAATGTCTGACAGTCACGCGGTGTTCCCACTGAGCCAACATGCTGATACAAGTTTCGGTTTCGTTGCACGACCTTCATCCGTCATGTTTAAAAGTTTGAAGCCCGGCACCATGTGTCAGAGCAGAAACAAGCAGAGGAAGCCTTTAAAGGCTACCGAGTACTGTCATGTTTTTGCGCTCAACTCTAGCAACTTAGGCCACGATTTGTAGCTGACAGCGGTAGTTCTGTTGCCAAGGTATTCGCTATCAAAGCATTGGAGAGGAGAATGATGGACCTAGCGTCCTCTTGGTCCATGGCTTGTGCCTTGGAATCTTATGTTTGCCAGAAACCATGGTCTTGAACCAGAGGACCTCAAAGCGATGACCACCTCGAATGCGGGAACAGGGCAGCTGCGAGTAAGAGTTCCTTTTGCGCAAAAGGCGGCAGTGTGTTTGCTAGCTGGCCAGACCTTTCGTTGAACTTCTTTTGTTGGAAGCATCATGAAGCATTCCGACAGTTCACCATGCCTATCTTGTCTATCCTGTTGCCAAGCAATCTTTGGCGCCATGAGGTTTGTAAACGCTGATCATTGGCGACAGAACATGCCGGCCTTGGCGAAAGCTGGCTTTCGTGTTTTTTCCATCGACCTGCTGGGCTATGGCTATAGCCTCTCAGCCAGATGGTGAGCGTTGACACAGCCAGATGCGAAAGACAAGACCATGGTGACCATGCCACAACACCTGAGGCTCCAAACCAGACCCCTATGGTGAAGAAGCTCGTGCCATCAACGGAGAGAAGGGCCGCAGGTGAACGGCGGCATTTGGTGTCCACCTCTCATGGAATGTTGGATAGCGTATAGTAACCCAGTGCGTCAGGAGTTCATCTTGGGTTTTATAAACTGAGTGAAAGTGTAAGTTTGAGTTTGTTTTTTTGCTCTAGAAATTGCCCAAACTTGCGGTGTTGAGGACCCGTTGAACCGGGTCGCTGACTGATTGTTGGTCCCGTGCAGGTTGGGCTCCCCGAAAGCCAACTTGGGCACTGCCTGGGGTGGAGAGCGAAGAGACGTCGAGGTGCCCTTGGAGCATCCATTGGGATCAGCCTCTCAGCGAATCGTGAACGTGTTGGCCGTGTTGGTGAAGATATTATATGCTTGCTTTGGAATGTATTGAAAATTCCTTTGCAGAGCCTATATAGAGGAAACCAATCGACAGCGTTCATACTGATGAGACAAAACCACAAAAAAGGCTCTTGCTAAGAACGGACAAGCTCAGGTCTACAATTTCTACACTTGGAGTGAAGAGATTCGAGACTTTGCGCGGGAGATCATTCAAGCCGGCCCAAAGGGTGACTTGTCCAAGCCCAGATTCATTCAGTTCTGATTCCTTTCCTGGAGTAACTGGTTGAGTTCAACTCAACCAAGTAATCCATTGTCCCCCAAGGTTTACTCCTGTCATTCAGTGTGTTCCTAAGAGCCATGATGGCGTGCGCCCAGGTGTGGCTCTGGTGGCCAATTCCATCGGCTCGATTTCAGGCTGCGCACTTGCAGCGTGAAGATCTCTCCAAAGAGACAACAGAATATCATACAGTACCCACTATACAGGTTGGTTTTGACCCGGTGAAGATGTGCTTCAAAACGTGTGAAGTGTGTATGGATGATGTCGAAGCGGATAAAGTCGAGTTCCGCAACTGCGCAGGATTCCGCAACTAGGATTCCGCAACTGTTTGGTCGGATTCCGCAACTGGGATTCCGCAACTGGGATTCCGAAACTAGGATTCCGCAACTAGGATTCCGCAACTAGAATTCCGCAACTAGGATTCCGCAACTAGGATTCCGAAACTAGGATTCCGCAACTGTCAAGATTCCGCAACTAGGATTCCGCAACATTGTGGACTCCCTCACTAGGATTCCGCAACTTTGTGAATGATGAGGGACACGATGGGGACAGGGGGTGTTGGGGGGTGGGGGGGGTTGGGTGGGGGGCTCATGACGTTGGTTTGGATGTGCTTCGAAGGTGATGTCACAGGCACACACGCTATCGCATGATGTGGAGATCACCAGTTGCAAGTTTCAGAAGGCAAGTTGCAGAATCTGACTTTCCAGTTTCAGAATACCAGTTGCAGAATCTGACTTTCCAGTTTCAGAATACCAGTTGCAGAATCTGACTTTCCAGTTTCAGAATACAAGTTTCAGAATCCCAGTTTCAGAATCCTAGTTTCAGAACCCCAGTTTCAGAATCCTAGTTTCAGAACCCCAGTTTCAGAATACCAGTTTCAGAATCCAAGTTTCAAAACCCTAGTTTCAGAACCCCAGATTCAGAACCCTAGTTTCAGAATCCGACCGATTAGTTTCCGAATCCGGCTCTAACCATGTCGAAGCACAACTTTTTTGGTATCCTGCCAGCACAATAATCTTGTCAAAGTTCCGCTGTGTCAATCCACCAGCGGCCCAACCCCCAATCCTGGTCACAGCAGTTGTGATATCATTTCACATATCCTTTGACGCTTGGAGGTTTGCAGGCTGCTCTGGACGAGCAAGATCTCTTTAGCGGCTTGATGATTCTCAATCCAAACTTCCGGGACTCTTGGCCAGCTTGCTTGCAGATGTAGTAGTTGATCAAAAGGTCGACATTAGGCCTAGGTTCATTGAGATCCCTTCTATGTTGTTCGCAAAAGTTGTTTTTCGAGTTCGCAAAAGTAAAGATGTTTCGAAAGATCTGCGAGAGATTGGTATGTGGAAACAACCAAACCATGGAGAACAGCCCCCGCGAAAGGTAAACATGGAGTTCGCGAAAGATTCGCGAAAGTAAAGATCTTTTGCGAAGAATGGCGTTTCCGTAAGAAGGTATTTAGATCAACCAGCTTCAACCACCATGTGCAGTGTAGAAATCTATAGAAAGATCTCTCATGCGTTTCGTTGCGGCGTAGGTGACACCCCTTCTTCGCTCTCCTCAGCTCAGGAGTTGCACGTGGCAGAGCAACCGCCATTGATCAATCCGCTGGTCTGCTACTCAGAGCTCTATCATTTCCGCAGCTAGTCTTTGGATGCCTTTGGCTGAAGTCCTACATACTTGAATCTTGAATATGATACAGATGAGCAATCGGCCTGTAAAGAAACTTCCTTCGCGCATTTTGCCAATATGGAGAGTGGTAAGTTTGATGAAAAGCACACAAGATTCATCCAGATTCCAGGTATTTCAAACCATCGCGACAGAAACTCTGACATCCCATTGACTCATTCATATTGACTCATTGGGAGGTCTCTGCCATCCAGGGCTGGCTTCGCGACAATGGGCAGCCGTTGTTCGATTTCCTGGCCAAGCCTGACACGGTGAAGCAGATCCTGAAGGAGCGGGGCGCCCGTTTGGGGCCACCGTAAACGGCCCGCTTGGGCTCCAAACAGACGGCTTGATTGGGCTGGTGTTTTTCAAGATGTCCAGTCAAACATCCGGGCCATGTCTGAAACGGCGATATTAAGAAACAGACACGGCCTGTTCCTTTATTTATGTGTTCTTCCTTTGTGCTTTTGCTGTGGATATTGGGCAATAGAAAGGTCGTTGAGGTATAAAGAGATTGTCTCGAGGCGGCAGGTGCAGGCTGCGCATCAGTGAACAAAACTTATTCAGTCTTATTCAACAGGCACTGTGCCAACCTTATCCCTTGAGAAATGGCAGAAAAAAAAACCTTGCAGGAGCCATACCACGATCCGGAGACGGTGACCGATGAGTTGGTGGACGTGCTCCTCACGCCCTTGCTCATCAAAGGCATCAAACGGCAAACTCAATTTGTCACCAGCAGTACCCGCGGAGAGAAAAAACAACTTTACCACCAGATCAAAATATGCACGAAGGTTCGGCGACTGTGGTCTTCGATACTTTGTCATATTCTGCTGGGCCTTTGCCAGAGCAGTGTTTTGGTGGCAAGCTTTGTGGAGGAAACTTGAGAAAACCCGTTCTTTGTGGTCAATACAGACATTTGCTTGATGCTTGTTTGTTAGAAGTTGGAAGTTGGAAGCCTTTGGTGGTGTTAGCATGACCAACTCAGGCTTTTGGCAGATCCAGGCCTATCCAAGCTTCCAGTGTGGGTTACGAAGCTGCAAGTGAAGTATGTGTTGATTAGCTTCACGTGTTTCCATCATTTGAGCCCTAAAAATTAATTTGATTAGAGCCACTAGCGTGACCGAGGTGTGTTTGGGTGAGAAGGACCCTTGGACGCCACTGGACCGAGTGCGCGCACTGGATCAATATCCACCTGTCCAACGTGTTGATGTGCTTCCAGGCAGGCGAGGGTTGGAGAAGCATTTGTTACTGGACTCCGTGAATCCACACAGAAGGGCTCGGTTCTGCAAAGACATTTACTCCATGCGTGGGAGCTTCTCCAAAGCCTCCTTGAAAATTCCTGCTTGTGGTCGAAAGGGTTCCTTGGGTTTCATTTAAACTGTTGCAGGTATTGGTCATTGCCCCCATGATGAATCTCCGGAAATTGTTAATCCGCTCTTGATTGATTTCTTGAAATCTGTACATCAGAAACAACTCGAAGCATCAATGGCCTAAAGACATTATTGAGATATATAAATTACTATATATATATATATATGTATATCAATTAATTAGGGTAGAATTGGCTCAATTTAGGTGTCAATACATACAAAATGTGTTGAAATTTGGTTAATTAGAATTGTGCTATAATATTTTAAATAGAATTGAAATATGATCAGGAAATTAAGGAAAATCTAAATTATAAATATATATAGATAATTATTTATTCATAATATTGAATTAATATGTTTGATTGGATTAAATTACGAAAGGTAGTCTTTTAGGGAATATGTTGAATTTGGTTTGCGAAATAGATATGGTTGTGTTTTTGCGGATTTAATTATTAATAGATTAATTTAATTCTTATTTGTTTGGAATTTATTTTTACATAGATTTATGATTCTTTTTATCGTAATATTGATTATTTCAATCATTAGATGATAAATAATGTTTAAAAGTAGTTAAATTAATGAAATATATTATTTGGATTGAAAAGCATTTTAGATATATATTTATTATGGATATGTATATATTTTTGTTTTTTTATATATTTATGTTATAATAATTAAAAATTAAATAATTGGATATGATTCTTCGAGATTGGTTGGATGGCAGTGTTGAATGTGCGTCTTTGTGATGATAAGTGCTTGACACTCGGGGTGTTGTTGCGTAAAGGAGGGCGCAAAGTGTTGCGAAATAATTTCTACGATTGCAATCTAAATATATTATATTTCTATTTTCTATATAAATTTGATTTGAATAAGTTAACTAATTGTTGGATTCGATTTTTATTTTCTTTATTTATATATAATATTTTCTATATTTTAAAGGTAGTATTTTGGGGCTTCTCTTTTTATATTTTTTATGAAATGAAAAGAAAATAAATATGTTGAAATATAATATGTTTATTAAATTTAATATAAATTGATAAATTTCTTTATTAATATTGGATTTTGATTATTAATTGGAATTGATTTTTGAACGATCTTCTTGACGTTGATATTTATAATAGAATTTATTTTTATTCTTAAGATTATAGGGAATTTTTTTGCGAATATTGCCGATCTATATTCTATTCTATTATTGATTGCCCAATAAATTTCTCTCTCCCATGGTGTTTTTGTGCTCTTGGAGGCCAAACAAACGAAGCATTATCCATATTGCGTTGTTGTCTGGCGTATTTGTTTAATGGCTTGTATAGCAATCTAATTTGTTTAAAATCAGGGTATTAATCTCTCATGCCTAGGTGTTGTTGCATTTATGTAACCGCCTTTGGTCCCAAATGAAATTGCATACATATAGCTACAAGCCCAATGCCAGTTGTTTGATATCCCCAATGCTTCATCTCATTTCATCCACATTGGAAGTTCCATTTTCCTATGTTCTCTAGCTATATACATTGGATATCTTAAGCCATAAAATTAAGATATTCTTCCACACTCCACCATTGAGACCATACAATATATATATAGGTATCCACCCTCACCACATAGAGCCTGAATCCCCCATTCCTTCTCCGTATTCTGATATGCAATGATACAATTGGCATGGTTCTGATCTGTCAGATCTCTCATTGAGTTGTTGCAAAAATATTAGTTGCTAGCTTTCATGATTCCCATACAGATGTCCATCAACCATCATCTATCAATAAATTCAGGGCATCACATCATACATCATCAGATCATCACCTCTATGAGGGGGATCTTGTCTCCAAGAATGCGCCCTCAATCTCCAGTAACTGGGTCTGCCGGACTTCTCCCGGGGGGGGGGCGAAAAAAACAAGATAAATGTTCATGGAATTGGACAATCAATATTTTTTTTGTTTGGCGCCACCCCCGCGGGAGAAGCCCGGACCTAGGCCCAATTGCTGGAGATTGAGGACTCATTGAGATTGGAGGTCTTGGAGACCAGATTCCCCTCATAAAGGAGATGATGTGATGATGTATGATGTGATGTTGTGGACTTGTTGATAGATGATGATTGATGGATTTCTGCGTGGGAATCATAGAGCTACTATTTTTGCAAAAATTTGATGATAGATTTGACAAATTACAAATCGATATTTTTGCTAGACACGTTCTTCTTAACAGCCAACATTTTCTATATTATAGGTTATTTGTATTATCATAAAGGAATTGCCATTATGCCCAAAGACGTATATATACCAATCTAATCCATGAACCAATTGTCAAATCGGGAACAAAAATTCAGTTCTTTCAACATCACGGGGGGTATCAAATTGCCGCAATCAAAGTTATTTGGGACAATATTCAGTCCATAGAGTGCGAATATTGCGATCAATTTAGTCTATGTTTATATCGCAATTTTTGCGCATATTCGTGCGAATCATGTCCGTGCTATTGAAATCAGAATTGATTATACATATTTTGCCTGATTGACTCTTACCACGCAACAACCCGATCAAATTGCACATATTCGACTTCAATTGATTCGTATAGGGTCATTTATAGATCCTTCCTATACGGCATGTAATCCAAATCTATATCGATGGAATATATGACCGATTATAGAATTAAAATTGTTGCAAAGCAGCCTGGGCTGCAGTGCGTCAAATTGAGACCAAATCAGATGATCCATCAATTAAGGTTTTCAATATTTTGTAAGTTTCGGTAGCAATACATACAAAATGTCTTGAAATTTGGTTAATCTTTTAAATAGAATTGAAAAATGATCAGGAAATTAAGGAAAATCTAACTTCTAAATATATATAGATAGTTATTTATTCATAATATCGAATTAATATGTTTGATTTAATTAAATTACGAAAGGTAGTCCTTTAGGGAATATGTTGAATTTGGTTTGCAAAATAAATATGGTTGATTTTCCGATTTAGTTATTGATAGATTATTTTAATTCTTATTTGTTTGGAATTGAGTTTTACATAGATCTATGGTTTTTTAATCGTAATATTTAAATAGTAATATTTAGAACTAAATAATATCAGATAATGAAATATTTTATTTGGATTGAAAAGTGTTTTAAACATATTTCTATTAGTAATATAATAAGGAATTATAATTCTGATATATGAAATTAGATGTGTATTTGTTTGTTTGCTTTTTATTTATTTTTTTGAAAATATTTTTAAGTTATATTAATCGAAAAATGAGAGAGTTCGAAGTTATGTGGGTATGGTTTTTATGTATTTTTATTATATTATTCTTAGATTTTGTTATAATCTGAAATAATTTCTACGATTGCGATCTAGCTATATTGTTGTATGTTTATTTCTCATACAAATCTTTTTTATGTTTTAAATATTTTCTGGATCCGATTTTATCTTTCCTTATTTATAAGCATTCTTTTTATTTTAAAGGTAGCATTTTTTGGGGCTTCTGCTTCAATATATTTTATGAAATGGAGAGAAAATTGTTATTTTGAAATATAATGTGCCCATTAGACTCAATATAAATTGATAAATTTGCTTAATAATTTTGGATTTGGATTATTAATTGGAATTGTTTTTTGTACGACCTTCTTGACGCCTATACCCATCATAAGGTTTATCTTTATTCTCAAGGTCATAGGGAACCATTCTGCGACTATTGGCAATTTATATCCTGTTCTATTATTGGTTGCCCAGCAAATTTCCCTCTCACATGGTGCCCACGTGCTCTTGGAGGCCAAACAAACGAAACACCATCCATATTGCGTTGTTGTCTGGCGCATTTGCTCAACAGCTTGTTGAATAGCAATACATTTTGTTCAAAGTCAGGATACCAATCTCTTATGCCCAGGTGTTGCATCTATGCAGTCGCCTTTGGTCCCAAATGAAATTGCATACATACAGCCACAAGCCCAATGCCAGCTGTTTGATACACCCAATGCTTCATCTCATCTCATCTCATTTCATCCACATTGGAAGTTCCATTTTCCTATGTTCTCTAGCTATATACCCATAAAATCAAGACATTCTTCCACACTCCACCATTGAGACCATACAATATAGGTATCCACCCTCACCACATAGAGCCTGAATCCCCCATTCCTTGTCCATATTCCGATATGCAATGATACAATTGGCGTGGTTCTGATATGTCAGATCTCTCATTAAGTTGTTGCAAAAATACTAGTTGCTAGCTTTCATGATTCCCACACAGATGTCCATCAACCATCATCTATCAATAAATTCAGGATATCACATCATACATCATTAGATCATCACCTCTATGAGGGGGATCTTGTCTCCAAGAATGAGCCCTCAATCTCCAGTAACTGGGTCTGCCGGGCTTCTCCCGGGGGGGTGGCGCCAAACAAAAACAAAATTGATTGTCCAATTCCACGAACATTTATCTTGTTCTTTTCGCCCCCTCATAGATGTGGTGATGTGATGATGTATGATGTGATGTTGTGGACTTGTTGATAGATGATGGTTGATGGATTTCTGCGTGGGAATCATGAGAGCTACTATTTTTGCAAAAATTTGATGATAGATTTGACAAATTATAAATCGATATTTTTGCTAGACACGTTCTTCATAACAACCAACATTTTCTATATTATAGATTATTTATATTATCATGAAGGAATTGCCATTATGCCCGAAGACGTATATACACCAATCTAACCCATGAACCAATTGTCAAATCGGGAACAAAAATTCAATTCTTTCAACATCACGGGGGGTTATCAAATTGCCGCAATCAAAGTTATTTGGGACAATATTCAGTCCATAGAGTACGAATATTGCGATCAATTTAATCTACGGTTATATCGCAATTTTTGCGCATATTCGTGCGAATCATGTCCGTGCTATTGAAATCAGAATTGATTATGCATATTTTGCCTGATTGCCTCTTCCCACGCAACAACCCGATCAAATTGAACATATTCGACTTCAATTGATTCGTATAGGGCCATTTATAGATCTTTCCTATACGGCATGTAATCCAAATCTATATCAATGGAATATATGACCGATTATAGAATTAAAATTGTTGCAAAGCAGCCTGGGTTGCAGTGCGTCACAAATTGAGACCAAATCAGATGATCCA